CCCCTTTCTCCTCTCCCAATTTCTCGCCGCCGGCGACCCTCCGCCCCGCCTCCAGCCGCCATGTGAGGGCGAATGTGGAGCTCCGGACGCGGCTCCGGCAGCAGATCCGGCCGGGAGAGGGACCCATAGTGCGAGCGGTGCGTCCGGTCCGACGGCACGAGGAAGCGCGGCGCGCGGAAGTGGACCAACCGCGGGCTTTCGCTGTCGGCAAGCTTCAACCGCCGTGAGACGGTGGAGTACGACCGTCGGCGCGCGTCGTTCTCCTCCGCGTGTTCTTCGTACGCCGGATCCTCCTCCTCCTCCGCCGCGGGCTTCCTCCCCGTGAAGAGGGAGTGGTCGGACGAGGAGGAGGAACCGGAGCCGCCGGCGCCGTTCGCCTTCGTCCCGGTGAAGGAGGAGCCCGAGGAGCCCGCTCCGCTCGGCCGCCGCGGAGTCATCGGGCCCAAGGACTACGTCACGGAGTTTGACGCCGTCGCCGCCGCCATCGCCGAGCGGGGCGTGCGCGAGGAGGAGGAGCGTCGGCGCCACGCCGAGGAGCTCGAAGCCCTTCAGTGGCGCAGGCGGTCGCCGACAACGTCACAGCCAACGAGAAGGCGGACGAGTGGTGCCGCATCCGTAAGGAGCAGGCGGAGAAGTACGTCGATCTCTGCAGCTCCGGCGAGGGGGGTTGAGCGTCCGGCTCCTCCACGGCGTCGTCCAGTTGCCGCGACCTCGCCGCCATCAGATCCGACCCCCTAGTACTAGTTTAACGTAGTATATAATATAACTATGCTTGTAGTTTGTGATGAACTATGTAGTATGCCATGAACAATATAGTATGTGATGAACTCTGTTCGTGCAATTTCTCCCGCGAAACAATTTTTTAAAATTATGCAGGTTTAGATACGGGTTCTGCTCAGCCGCGTATGTTTTTTACCCGCAAAAACGATTTTCGTGAACCCGCAAACGCGTTTTGCGGGTCGTATTTTTGCGGGGTCTACTAGAGTTGCTCTAAGAACACCAAGTGCCCCCTCTCACCCTAAAAATAGAGTCATGTCTTATATACATTCGTATATAGTCCTGAGCAAAAAAATTTGAAACGAAAGGTAGAGTACATTCTACCTTATATATTTCAAAATAGGCTGTAGCCCGGAGACCATAGGTCCATTACATGAAGCTTATGTTTTGCACCAGGGCGCATAGGCCATAAGCTGCCCAAAGAACAGAAACAGACGGGTGGAAGGAGAGAAAGGAGAGGAGAACAGGTACAGGCACAACTACATTATGCTTGTAAACTATGCAACCACAGCAAGACCGCCTGTTTGCGTTCTGGGCTCCTTGCCCGATGGCTTCATAACTTGAGGAGATCTGACGCGTACCGGCGTGCATATGTTGGAGACCAGATTTTGCCATTGAACACCCGATCATTCCGGGCATGCCAAAGAGTGACCGCAGCAGCAGCGACAAAAACATTCCAAGCAGCTGACGAAGGACAGCGTGGTTGCGACACTTGCATGAACTCCAGGAGGTTAGTAGATCTTGAAGCAGAATTCTCCAAACCGAATCTGTCCCAAAGAGCAGTAGCGAGAGAGCATCGCAAGATGATATGATCTATGGACTCACGAACACGGAGAAACTTACCAGGTTCAGACATAGCAAGGATTGACAGACTGAGAGTCGTGAGCAAAATGAGGGAATCCATATCTAAAATACGTCTATATACATTCTTATATACTCTATATTAAAATCTCTAAAAAAGATATATATATTTAGTAACGGAGGGAGTAGAAACATCACCGAAATTACAGATATCACAAAACAAGAGACGGACACCGAGCATGAAGAGTTCAACACGCACAAAAGTCGTGGCAAGTGCAAGGGTAGCCGCAGCCGGCGGCAAGGTGCAAAGGGAATATGCGCTGCCGCTGATAGGATAGGTCTTGGTATCGTACCGGTGCAGTGTGCTTCTCGCCTTTTCCTATAAGTAAGCAAATGCCGCTTCCTCGGCTATGGACACAAACAGCAGAAGCAGCAGCCCGAGCCTCGTTGCCAAACTGAAGCAGACCAAGCTTTCCGTTGTCAAAATAGCTGGTTTTATCCAGTGCTGCTTCATTTTCTCGGTTGATTCTTGTAGCCATGAGACAAAGCACTGATACTTGCTCCGATCACCGTAACATATCGCTTCTCCCTGTTTTCGGTCAGCTTCCTCTCCCCCTCGTGGCTTGTCAGTTCCCGTCTTTCCATGTTCAGTATGGTACTACTCTTGTGCACTTGTAGCCAATCTCTCCCTACCCTGATGCTACTCTTGTTTCTTGTTTATATACAAGTCAAGCGAAAATGGTCCTCAAAAGGGTCTCCACTGGATTGCACCCATAATTGAAGCTTGCTATTTTCTCCTCTTCACTATTTCTTCATCGCATATCTCGCATCATTTTTGCCACCATCTTATAAGCCGTGTCCGTGTTCAGATAATAAGATCTTGGCTGCAATACTCACGCGCCATCCATCCAAGATCCTACCCATAAACACCTCTTATCTGTTGTGTTGCTTCCTTATTTGTTGAATCAAGAAAGTAGAGGAGAAAGAGAAAAAGGAGGAAAGGGAAAAATGTCAACAGTAGGACATTGCCAGCGTGCATCTGGGGTAAAAAAAACCAGATCATGCTTTCTCTCTGCCTAATTGTTGTCTGCCTTGAAACCGTAAGGAACCTGTAAGCCAAATCCTTCTTCCCTTCAATCTGGCCGCTGGGCACGCGCTGGCCATGGCGTCCATTTTGGCACCCGGCACCAAGATGAAGAGCCTGGCTGCCAGGCCGAGTGTTACCTCTGCTTCGGTTTTTTTCATATCCGTGATGACCAGAGAGCTCGCCTGCAAAGTTCAAACATGCCACTATGCAAACAGAGCCTAGCTCTCTTCACACGGTGTGGCTGCAGGAATCCTTATATTTGATCATATCTGCGACAAGGCATCCGGTCCAGTTTGGTATTTTAAAGTGTTGTTGTGTTGTTATATCTTCTTGTCCAGTATCTGTAGCTGTGAGGATTTAATAATACTATTTTGCAAAAAAATTGTGACATTCTTCTCTGCCCTACAACATACTCCCTGTCACAAAATAAGTGTATGGAAGAACATAATAAATACAATTAAAACAGTTGTAAATGTGAATACAATGAATCAAAATTCATGCAACCAACAGGGCAACCCAGAAAAGCAATATTCAGCATATACATTATATTCGGAAAAAGGGAATACAACAGGTCTGAGCAAAATTGAATAGATTCTCGACTCAGATTCTGTATTTGTATATAAAAACTAAGGCAGCCTCCGGCATACTTTGAAATCCCAGAGTAAGCTTTGCATCAAGGAGTGACACAACCAATGCCAAGAGAAAATAACAACAAGGATGTGATGCATGCTTTATTATTCACAACTAGCCAACTACCACTAGGATCTGTCTCAAGCACAATCCTCTATTAACAGTCTTAATCTCTATAATTGCCAGAGAAGTGTTCTTATTTTTCTGACCAGCCACTACAAGCTTCAAAAGTCAACAAATAACAAAAGGAGAACAAAAATCTCGGAAGAAATAAGACCAAAGATATACCAGCTACAGCCTTATGATAACAACCAGATAATGAACTTTGCAGCTTATTTTGGCCACTCAGACTGACGACTGCTAGTTCATGAACTTGCCCCATACAATGGAAGAACCAATCGGCTTTGAGATAACCTTGTGTCCCTAAATTTATCAAAGAATAAGAGGCTGTACAATTCTAATAAGCGTAGCTGTGGGCAAAATGAGTCGAGGATTCCTATCAAGGAACATCGCCAACACGTATTCTTACAGGCAAGGGTCTAGCAATCAGACCATCCATCACCCAGCCACCATTTGAACCATCATGCTTGACATGTGTAAACTCCCTCTGAACATAATCCAGTGATGCTTCAAGCCTTCCACCTGGTCTACACTCGGAGGCAACATTGAATGGTTTGAAACCCATATATTTCTCTAACCAGTACAGATAGTTAACATGGAATAGAGATTTCAGCATGTCTTCTGGGGAAGATCCCTCTTTAAGAACAACCTACAAATGACAGGTAATATGTTAACTACTATAACAGAATCAAAGTTAAGAAATAGTTGCATCAAGATGAACTCACACAAATTTTCCCCTTGTAATCCGTAAGAAGGTATTGCTCATTTTTGTACAAATCAAACAGTGCATATGCATCTTCCTTGTTCTCAATTATTTCACTAAGCTTAGAACCCAATTGTAACCGTCGATAGATTGTATCTGCAGCATCTTTTGCTTCTGCTGACAAAATCTCACTTTGCTGGCAAACAAATCAAAGAAACCAAAGATAGTGAGAAATGAAATTAAATAAAGCAGGAAAACATTCTTCAAATCAAACGCCTACAATTAAACTACTTTACTATTCTCAATAAAAAGAACTAGTTAAGTAATTATAACCAACTCTAACAAGAAAAGCCACGATACTTGGACATGACCGAGCATATGTAGAACATGCCTCCTAACTTTATTTTCTAAAAAAAGGTCAGCGATGAATAGTAAGAAGTATTCTTGACTTACTTTAACTTGAGCACCCATGGATAAATTCGGAAAAAGTGGCTCCTTGTCGTTAACCTCTTTGACTGAAGGAACTTGTCCACTTAATAAATATTCACTAAATACCAAACCTACAGAAAATAATAATTGAGCAAATGCTTAAAGACGTCCTTGAACACTGTTGAATGCCAAAGAAAAACATTACACAGGCACGTGCTTGAGCTAATATGTATAAATGTATGCTAGCATGCTTGTTAGACATGTAAAAAGTAGGAGAAAACGCAATGTGCCATTAAATCTAAACCCAAAATATGGGAGTAACAGAAAATAATGTTTTTTTAACCTTAACAGAAAATAATGTTATCTATGGAACGCACCATAAGAAGCCATATTTAATTTTCTAACGCTAAATTTATAGTAAATTCATAAAGAGGGCGAAATTTATACCTTAAAAGATCTACATTTTCCTCCAACAATGGGTGTACACAAACCAAACACATTAACATTCTTCGTGAAAGACTCTCACCATAAAATGGAGATAAGAGTGTACTTCGTGTGTTATTTTCAATTCAACCATCAATTGGACAGTCTCTGTTAAGCTTTTACCTCATTCTGAACATTTTATATTCCATATTTCAGAAAAGAGGTGATAAACTCAGCAAAGTAATTGCAAGCAATTCTACAAGACTAAATAGTGGATTTCCCAGCTCTTTGCATATCTTATAGACAAAAAATTCCAGCAAAAATATTTTATTGGGTTTTTATCATTTATTTTTTAGCCTAAATAATGAGACACCTAAAAAATAAGATGCTTCTTTGAGATGGAACAATGGCATTTTTGAGCAAACATCTAATGGAACAAAGGCATCTCATGGAACGATGGCAGTTTTTAGCAGTTGTAACTTCTAATGGCAAAACTTAGTGGGACACAACTAGTGGCAGTAATGATAAAAACCCTATTTTATTGGGTCAGTTCCTGATGAGGAACAGTAGATGAGGAACATGAAAATATAATCATATGTCAAATCTGTTTGGCTACTTCTAGATACTTCTGTTGTGGTCTAGTATTTCTTTTCTTTATCCTACCTACTGTTTTCTAGAGTCTTCTAGTTGTGAGTAGCTATGAGTAGAATGGTGAACCTTAAATAATGTTTCTAGAGTATCCCAGCTATAAGTAGAAGTATGTGAAGGCTTCCCAAAGCCCTATAAATAGAGGTCCTCGCCTCTACTTTGTACGCAGACTATGTACCCCTACCTATAATAGAACTTGTTGTTCTTATCTAAGATCTTGGAGTAGATCTTGTGCCCTAGGAGTTCTGGATTGAACTCTTGCTGCCCTATCAGCCTACATTCGCCTCTAGAGCGATATCTAGCGCAGCACGTTGAAGCTGTTCCTTCAACACTTGTGCTGTACACATTGTAGCAGCAAGGTGGAGTTGCTCCTCCACAACCTTTGTGCTGCTTCAGGTGGTATCAGAGCCTCGTTGATCCATAATCGTTCTTGCTGTCCTCTTCGAGAGCAAGTTGCAGCAAGCAATGGAGCAATTGGAGAAGAGGGTGGATGCTGCTGAACAACAAATCAAAGAGCTGCGTGAAGATCTAAATAGGAGATTTTACCAGCTGGTTGAGATGATAAGAAAGGCTGTCCCCCCTGCTACCAATGAAGGAGATTCATCTAAAGAAGAGGAAGATGTTCATCAAGGAAGATGGAGAGGTAATCTTGGAGCAAGATCGTCACGACAACATGTTGTTCAACGTGCTTCAAGAAGGCCAATTTATGTTGAGGCTTCTGAAGGTGAAGAATATGATGATGCCCTTGAAGAACCAAATCTCTACGCATATCGGAGAGCACCCAACCCTACATATGCAAGAGATACATACAAGGTGAAAGCTGAGATCCCACGTTTTAATGGAAATGTTGACATTGAAGGGTGCCTGGATTGGTTATATGAAGTGGAGACTTTCTTTGAGGTCATGGAGGTTCCGGAGGATCGTAGAGTTCCTTTGGTCGCATACAAGCTGAAAGGAGGATCCGGTGCATGGTGGCATCGCGTTCAAGAAGAGCGCAGGCTGAGAGGAGAACCTCGTGTTAGAACTTGGCGACAAATGAAAGGCCTCTTGAAAGGGAGATTTTTGCCCGCTGATTATGACCAGATCCTATTTATCCAATTTCAAAATTGTGCTCAAGGAAATAGGACTGTTTCAGATTACACGAAGGAGTTTCTAAGGCTACAAGTGAGGTGCAACCTTTGCTGAAACTGAAGAGCAACAAGTTGCAAGGTACATCAATGGTCTCAATGATGCTATTCAAGATCGATTGATGATGCAACAAATCTGGTCCATTGATCAAGCACAAGCTCTAGCCTTAAAGGCCGAGAGGTTTGTGAGGATGAGAAAGACAACTAAGGCTCCATATCCTCCATATCCTCATACCGAAGGCTCATCTAGGAGCCAACCTAATAGAGTGGAAGAAAAGACCACTCCACCAAAGACAAAACAGCCTATCCCGAAGCAAACTAGAGGCAAGGGTAAGGCAAATGAAGGCCCAAAGTGCTATAAATGTGGTAAAGAGGGACACATATCCAGCGGTTGCCCACTAAGGAAATTTGTTAACACGACTATCCATGATGGTGAAAGCGATGAGGAAGAATACGAATCTGAAGATGTAGACGGACAAGAGGTTTGTCAAGAAGAAGGTGAAGAGGTGGTATGTGTGATCCAGCGTGTCCTATGTTCCACACCACAACTGGATGACACACAACGGAAGAAAATATTTGAGAGCAAATGCACGGTGAATGGCAAGGTATGCAAACTAGTGATTGATAGTTGCAGCTGCGAGAATCTTATCTCCCAGAAGTTGGTGGACCATTTAAAGCTTGAAACCCATGATCATCCAAATCCCTACACTATTGGATGGATCAAGAAAGGAGTGAATATGAGGATCACCAAACAATGCAACCTGCCACTTTCTTTGGGTAAGCATTATCGCTCAAATGTGTTGTGTGATGTGGTTGACATGGATGCCAGCCATGTTCTTCTTGGGAGGCCTTGGCAATTTGATGTGGATACTACACACAAGGGCAAGGAAAATTCTTACTCTTTTCATTTGGAACAAGAGAAGGATCATTATCTTACCAAACAAAACCGAAGGTAATACCTCTAAGGAGGAGGGGAAAACTATGTTAACTATCTCCCATACCTCTCATGAGTTTATGGAAGACTTGAAGGAGGCAGATTTGTGTGCTGCACTTGTTGTAAAGGGAGAAGAGCACCTGACTATTGAAATTCCAGCAAAGGTACATGGTTTATTGGCAGAATTTTAGTACATACTTGGGGAGCCACATGGCTTGCCACCGATGAGAGGAATTCAACATAGAATTGACTTAATTCCGGGAGCAAGTCTTCCTAATCTTCCACACTATCGAATGAGCCCAAAGGAGCATGATATGTTGAAGGAGAAAGTGGAGGAATTGTTGCAAAAGGGGCACATTCGAGAAAGTATTAGCCCATGTGCTGTACCAGCCCTACTCGCGCCAAAGAAAGATGGATCTTGGCGCATGTGTACGGACAGTAGAGCCGTTAACAAGATCACCGTAAGGTATAGATTCCCTATTCCCCGTCTGGATGATATGTTGGATCAGCTTAGTGGAGCAAGAGTGCTCACAAAGCTAGATTTAAGAAGTGGATATCATCAAATCCGTATAAGACCCGGGGATGAATGGAAGACCGCCTTCAAGACAAAGGAAGGGTTGTTTGAATGGCTAGTCATGCCATTTGGACTCTCAAATGCACCAAGTACCTTTATGCACTTAATGAATCAAGTCCTTAGACCCTTCTTATCCCACTTTGTTGTGGTCTATTTCGATGACATCTTGATCTATAGCAAGGATGAGGATGAACACTTTGATCACATTCAGAAGGTGCTAGAAGTACTAAGGAAAAATGAGCTCTACGTCAACTTGAAGAAATGTGTTTTCCTGCAAACACAACTTCTTTTCCTAGGATTCGTCATAACATGTGACGGCATTCGTGTTGATGATTCTAAGGTTGAAGCAATCCGAGAATGGCCAACTCCTAAGACCATTTCTGAGGTAAGAAGCTTTCATGGCCTTGCAACTTTCTATAGGCGATTTGTTAAGAATTTCAGCACTATCATGGCACCAATTACGTGTTTGAAGAAAGGAAAGTTCCAATGGGCAGAAGCAGCTGAAGCTAGCTTCAATGAGATTAAACAAAAGCTATCACAAGCTCCTGTCTTGGTACTACCTGATTTCAACAAGACTTTTGAGTTGGAGTGTGATGCAAGTGGAGTAGGCATTGGAGCTGTCCTATCTCAAGAAAGGAAGCCCATTGCTTTCTTTAGTGAGAAGTTAAGTGAAGCTAGACAGAAATGGAGTACCTATCAGCAAGAATTATACGCCGTTTTCAGAGCGTTGAAAACTTGGAAAGTCTATTTGCTGCCTAAAGAGTTCATTGTTTATAGCGACCATCAATCCTTGAAGCATTTTAGAAATCAAAGGCATGTTGACCGCATGCTAGCAAGATGGGCAGCATATCTGGAGAGATTTAACTATCTCATCATGCATAAATCTGGAATAACTAACAGAGTGGCCGATGCTTTGAGTCGTCGTGCATGCCTCTTGACTTCTTTTGAAGCTGAACTTCCGGGCATGGATCAAATAAAGGAGTTGTATGAGGGTGACGAAGACTTTGGCCATGTTTGGGTAAAGCACGCAAGGGGCCAACCATTAGGTGATGACTATTTGATGCAAGATGGATATCTCTTCAAAAATGATCGTTTGTGCATTCCAAGAAGTTCTCCACGTGACAAGCTGGTTAGAGAGCTCCATTCAAGTGATCTTAGTGGCCATGTTGGACGGGACAAGACTATCGCTAACCTGGAAGCTCGCTACTTTTGGCCACAACTAAAGAGAGATGCTGGAAAGTTCGTTCAACGGTGCCCCGTATGTCAGACCTGCAAAGGCCAAGTCCAGAACACAGGGTTATACATGCCTTTGCCTGTTCCTGTCGCTCCATGGGAGGACATTTCTATGGACTTCGTCTTGGGCTTGCCAAGAACAAGACGAGGAAGTGATGTTGTATTTGTGGTCGTGGATAGATTCTCTAAGATGGCTCATTTCATCCCATGCCGCAAAACAACGGATGCTCATCATGTGGCAAACCTATTCTTTCGAGAAGTGGTCAGACTTCATGGAGTACCAAGGTCCATCGTCTCAGACCGTGATAGCAAGTTTCTTGCTGCATTTTGGCTCACTTTGTGGAAGCAATTCAACACTGAATTGAAATTTTCTAGCACTGCTCATCCACAAACAGATGGACAAACGGAAGTGGTGAACAAGTTTTTGGGTAATCTGATCCGTTGCATTTGTGGAGAAAGAAAGGGACAATGGGATTTGGCTTTATCTCTTGCAGAATTCTCCTACAATAACTCCAAGCATAGATCCACAGGAAGGAGCCCTTTTTCCATTGTCTACACTAAAGTTCCATCACATGTGGTGGACCTGGTGAAGCTACCACCAAGGGGAAACTCAAAATCAGCATTGTCCTTTGCTGATAATTACACCGAGTTATTTGAAGAGATTCGCGGTGCTTTGGAAGCACAAAATCAGAAATATAAATAACTTGCTGATTGCAAAAGGAGGCTAAAATCATTCCAAGCCGGTGATAAGGTGATGGTCTACCTTCGAAAAGAGAGACTGCCTTTAGGTGTTAAAGGGAAACTTAGGCAGCGAAGGTATGGGCCCTTCTCTATCGTGAGGAAGATAAATGATAATGTTTATGTGATAGATCTTCCAAGCGACTCGAGGGCGAATTCCAAACAACCAGGGGAGAATGATGAGGAACAGTAGATGAGGAACATGAAAATATAATCATATGTCAAATCTGTTTGGCTACTTCTAGATACTTCTATTGTGGTCTAGTATTTCTTTTCTTTATCCTACCTACTGTTTTCTAGAGTCTTCTAGTTGTGAGTAGCTATGAGTAGAATGGTGAACCTTAAATAATGTTTCTAGAGTATCCCAGCTATAAGTAGAAGTATGTGAAGGCTTCCCAAAGCCCTATAAATAGAGGTCCTCACCTCTACTTTGTATGCAGACTATGTACCCCTACCTATAATAGAACTTGTTGTTCTTATCTAAGATCTTGGAGTAGATCTTGTGCCCTAGGAGTTCTGGATTGAACTCTTGCTGCCCTATCAGCCTACATTCGCCTCTAGAGCGATATCTAGCGCAGCACGTTGAAGCTGTTCCTTCAACACTTGTGTTGTACACATTGTAGCAGCAAGGTGGAGTTGCTCCTCCACAACCTTTGTGCTGCTTCAGTTCCTCCTGGCTATGATCTTTGAACTTGTACCAACGATCTATCCTGCTACAGATTTGCATGCAGCTCTCCTAGATGTTCTTGAAATATAAATATATATTCTTGTATTTTTAGAAGTATTTTATATTTTAAAATAACTTATCTTTTAAAATGTACTTAGTCACATTGATGAAACAACATGTCTAAAAGGAGCAACATCATGGTATATATCAGGCAGTCATATTCCTATCATTTATCAACTTGTCAAGATTGGCCAGTTTATGCTGCCACTGCCGGCCCGAATTTTGGTTTGTCTTCCTCTTCCATGAGAATCACTTACCTTGAAATTGACAAATTTGCATGAAATACGACGTCGCAAACTAAATTTCAATATTTGCCAAAAATATGGGCATTAAACTAACTGTGGATCTTTGCCTAGTTCAATTTAGTCCTGGCATTTTTATCCATCACAAATATACTGATTTATCATTTATCTACCTAACCATTTTAAGTTTTAGTCACAGAAAGATGTGCCATAGGAGGATTCAGGGCTAGGATGGCAGCAGAGAAGAAAGCAAACTTACTTGCACGGTAAGGATTCAGCGTCCTCAGCTGAATTGATTGATAAGACTTAAGGTTGCAATACATGTGAACTACAGTAACACCAGCAAATGAAATAAGAGCCAGTGGTACTGATGAGCCAATTTGGTTAGCTAACGCTATGCCAAGCATTATGCCAACAAACTTGCTAACCATTCCCTGCGCTTCACCCTTTGCAATGACCTGAAACATAACTCAATTGATTTCAGTCACTCAGGTGAAAATATGAAGTGAGTCACAGATATCGCATTGAGTATTGAGCATTGAGTATCTTAAGAAGTAAAGGTCACATGGGTAGTTCCTTTATAATATAAAAATGGCAGAAGTGCATCCAAGAAAGAAAATAGTACTACCCAGTTGTACTGATGCCACTGCAAGGTGGGGTTGGCAACTCTTTGCCATCCAAACAATATCAAAAATTATGCATGCGCACACTATACAATGTTGGATGTGAGCCCATGTTCCATCCGGCCCATAAGGCCCAGGCACGGTCCAGTGACCTAGAAGAGGAGCTAGACCATGTCTGGTCAGATGTGCCGCTCCACACCAGAAACAACAGCACGAGGTGCGTTCCTCTCTCGCAACATGGTATCAGACAAGGCTGCAGAGACGGCGGCGGCGCCGGTGGTGTAGTCCGGCGAGAAGACAGGGTGAGCGGCTGGAGGCGGAATACAGCGAGGCGGCGCGGTTGACTCAGGCGAGAAGAAGCTGCGTGAGCTTGCAGCAAGGAGGCGGCGGGTCTGGGCGCAGAGCTGATGCTGTGTGGTGCGTGCTACTCTGCTGCTTGCTGGAGTTGCTGCTGTGTGCGTGTGTGTGCGCTGATTGTAGAAGAAAAATAGTGGAGAAGTGCTGCTGTTTGAGGAGAAGATGGCTGCCACTGCTTGCTGCTGCTGCTGCTGAGCTGCTGGAGTTGGTGCTAGTTGAGAAGATGGAGTGTGACTGGAGCTGCTGCTGGTGGGCTGCTGGAGTTGGTGGCTAGCTTCATGGTGCTTGCGCGCGTAGAAGAAAGGTTCTCACAGCTGAGTGGCTGCTGATTGCAGAGGAAGGAGCTGGTTGCAGAGGAAGGAGACACAGCATTGGAGGTGGCACAGCTAGGAGAAGAAGAGGTGGAGGCGTCATGGGGACTGAACTTACCGCTGCTATAGAGAAACTTCCGCAACTCATGGCTGTGAAGGCCGCCGAGGGGTCAACTCCTCCAGGTAGCAGAATTGTTGTGCCTCAAGCAGATCAGGGATTCAAGCTTGAGCTCATGCAAAATGATGTCAAGCTGAACGGTGTGAGCAGCTACCTGTCGAGGCAGGCCTTGTTGATCATGAAGACAAGGGGCCTGACGGGGTATGTTCTTGGAACTGCTGAAGAACTGGCTGACAAGGAGAGCTCAGAATGAAAGAAGTGGAGTGTTACTGACTCCCTGATATTGACTTAAATGTTAAACTCCCTGATTCCAGCGATTACAGTGTCTGTTGAGGCATTGTCGAATGCTTCTGCTGTGTGGAGCCTGCTATCCATGAGGTATTCATTTCGGAAGGGCAATTTGCTCATGTCTCAAATTGAAGACAAGATCCACGCTGTTCGTTGAGGTGACAGAAGTGTGATAGTGTATGTGAACGAGCTGCAACATTTTTGAGCGGATCTGGATCAGTCCATAGAAATTGCCAGGAATTGGGTTGAGCATAGGCGTGTGATGCAATTTCTCAAAGGTCCAGATCAAGGTTTTGAGAGCAAACATGTGCTACTACAACAGCCGACGCTTGTGTCCCTTGATGAGGCCACTGCTGCGATATCCCAATGGAGAAGAGGAGCTGTCAATGAATCTGGGAAGTGTTATAATTGTGGTTAAACGGGGCATGTGGGCTCCGTCGCGGCGTTCCCATTCCGTCCGTCCTGCTCCGGGTGAAAACTTGATCTTCGGGATCGGGCGGTGGCGGCTATCTGTGGTCGTACCCTTCTGGGAGGCACCATTTTGGAGTCCTAGCCTCGTTGTTGTCCACCTCACCTCTCCGTTGTGGTTGCTCATGGTGGAGGTCCCCGTTGGCACCAAGTTGTCCTCTTCGCACATCTGTAGTTTGCTTGGTTGTCGGTGGGGTGGTGCGTCGGTGCCCGGCACCTTTGTATCTTGCCTTGGGTGTGTATGTCGTGTGCGGTGTTGGCGTGTGGCTGTATCGGTGTCTCAGTTGGTTTGTGGTGATGGTTGCTTTATAATATAAAGCGGGGGAGGGGGGGAGCCCTTTTTGGGAAAACTGGGCATATCAGCCGTTTCTGCACTGGCCAAAAGAGGCAGAGGACGAGGATATAGTGGTGGCACTAGCAGCAAGGTGGTCGGAATGGGAGTCGTGGTCGAAATGGGAGTCGTGGTCGAAAAGGGAGTGGCGATTCTTGGAATGCTCCCAAGGCAAATGTAGCTGCTTCAGCTGAAGGGAAGCAGCATGCAGGAGGACTGCTACCAACTATGCCAGCTTTGTCGATACAGATGAAGGTAACATTGAACACGCATCAATAGCAGCCCATAAAATGAACACGGAATGGGTGCTTGATTCTGAAGCATCACATCATGTTGCTGGAGACTTTAATGAGTTCAAATCTTATGTTCCACACTCTCACACATCAGAAAAACATTCACACAGCAGATGGCACAGCCCAGCCCATCGCAGGGTGTTGCACGTGCCAGCTTCTCTCATGAACTTAGTGTCCTTGAGTGCTTTGGTTGACCAAATTGATTACCCAATAATAGTTGACAACTTGGTGTTCTTGATCCCTAACAGGTAAGCTTCGTGAGCTAGTTGATACAACGGTGAGGAGAGGTGTTGATATCCTTTGCATCCAAGAAACCAAATGGAGGGGACAGAAGGCGAAGGAGGTGGAGGATACCAGCTTCAAGCTGAGGTACATGGGGACGACTGTAAACAGAAATGTACTAGGCATCTTGATCAACAAGAGCCTCAAGTATGGAGTGGTAGACGTTAAGAGTCGGATTATCTTGGTCAAGCTGATAGTTGGGGACTTAGTTCTCAATGTTATCAGCGCGTATGCCCTCAAGTATGGAGTGGTAGATGTCAATAGTCAGATTATCTTGGTCAAGCTGGTAGTTGAGGACTTGGTTATCAATGTTATCAGCGCGTACGCTCCACAAGTAGGCCACATGAGAACACCAAGAGGGAGCTCTGGGAAGGACTGGAGGACATGGTTAGGAGTGTACCTATTGGCGAGAAGCTCTTCATAGGAGGAGACCTCAATGCCACTTGGGTACATCTAATACAGGTTGACGGAGTGCATGGGGGCTGTGGCTATGGCATCAGGAATCAAGGAGAGGATGTCTTAAGCTTTGCTCTAGCCTACGACATGATCGTAGGTAAGACCCTCTTTAGTAAGGGAGCATCACATCTAGTGACTTTTAGTAGTAGCCAACACTCTAGCCATACTGATTTCATCCTCTTGAGAAGAGGAGACAGGCGTGCTTGCCTAGATTGTAATGTGATAACTGGAGAGAGAGTTGTCCCTCAACATACACTTGTTTTTTTTTTGGAAAAGAGGATAAACCCCCAGCCTCTGCATCTGGGTGATGCATGCAGCCACTTTAGTAATTATTCACAAAGACCTTACAAAGTAATACATCAGTAAGCCCACCATCTTGGCAACACATGTCGCTACTCCTATGCCCTTGATGAAGGGGTGCCGAATACCAAACAGATATCGCACCTAAGCCTAACATTTCACGCCTGATGCCCCAGCCCAGCCACATACTGGGACTGTGTCACACACCGGTCCGGCGCACTCTCAGAAGCTGACAATATGTGGATGGAAATGGTGACTTGCATTGTAAGGTGGCCTCAGAGGAGTTTGGAGTGTCCAGGGGAAGTAGAAGCGAAGCTAAAGATACATGGTGGTGGAACGATGATGTCCAAAAGGCTATTAAGGAGAAGAAAGATTTTTTCAGACGCTTTTACCTGGATAGGAGTGTAGACAACATAGAGAAGTACAAGGTGGCAAAAAAGGCCGCAAAGCAAGTTGTGACCGAAGCAAGGGCTCGGGCGTATGACGACCTCTACCAACGCTTAGACATTAAGGAAGGCGAAAGGGACATCTATAAGATGGCAAAGATCCAAGAGAGGAAGACAAGGGATGTCGACCAAGTCAAATGCATCAAGGACGGAGCAGACCAACTCCTGGCGAAGGACGAGGAGATTAATCATAGATGGCGGAAGTACTTCGACAAGCTGTTCAATGGGGAGAATGAGAGCTCTACCATTGAACTGGACAACTCCTTTGATGACAGCAGGCGTTTTGTGCGGCGGATTCAGGAGCCTAAGGCCAAGGAGGCTTTAAAAAGGATGAAAGGAGACAAGGCGATAGCCCTAATTGTATCCCCATTGAGGTGTTGAGAGGCCTCAGAAACACAGTGATAGTATGGCTAACTAAGCTTTTCAACCTCATTTTTGGGGGCAAACAAAATGCCAGAAGAATGGAGACAGAGTATATTAGTACCAATATTCAAGAACAAGGGGGATGTTCAAAGTTGTACTAATTACCGTGGAATTAAGCTGATGAGTCATACAATGAAGCTATGAGAGAGAGATTGAGCACCGCTTACCAAGAATGACAAGATTGGTTTCATGCCTGGGAGGTCGACCATGGAAGCCATTTTCTTGGTACAACTTATGGAGAGATAGAAGAAGCAAAAGAAGGACCTGCATATGGTGTTCATTGACTTCGAGAAGGCCTACGATAAGATACCGCATAATGCCATGTGGTGGGTCTTGGAAAAACACAAAGTCCCGACAAAGTACATTACCCTCATCAAGGACATGTACAATAATGTTGTGACAAATGTTCGAACAAGTGATGGTGACATTGATGACTTTCCAATTAAAATATGACTGCACCAAGGGTCAGCTTTGAGCCCTTATGTTTCTACTTTGGTGATGGATGAGGTCACAAGGGATATACAATGATATATCCTATGGTGTATGCTCTTTGCGGATGATGTGGTGCTAGTCGATGATAGTTCATAGAAAGTTAGAGCTATGGAGACAAACCTTGGAATCATAAGGTTTTAGTCTTAGTAGAACTAAAACCAAGTACGTGTGGTGCGGTTTCAGTACTACTAGGCACGAGGACGAGGTTAGCCTTGATGGGCTAGTGGTGCCTCAGAAGGACACCTTGCAATATTTGGGGTCAATGCTGCA